TATTATTTATATTTATATTTATTATTATTATTATTATTATTACTATTAGTATTATTATTATTACTATTATATTTTAGCCCCCAGGCCCCAATGTGGGTCAGTGACCTGTGCCCGGGTGGTCTGATCAATGTAAAAAAATAAATAAAAAATAAAAAATAAAAATAAAATAATAATAATAATAATAATAATAATAATAAATAAAATAAAATAAAAAATAACCATTCTGAAATCCCAAAAATTCTGAAATCCGAAATGCATCTGGTCCCAAGGATTTCGGATAAAGGATTGTCAACCTGAGTACTGTACCAAGAAATGTGATGTCAGTCAGTTATAAGTTTTACATGCATTTATGTAAACACAAATAAGGCACATAATGTATAGTACTAATCTCTACAAACTCAAATTCATGCATAATATTGCAAAAGCATCACGAGTGCAAAGGTTAGTAGTATAATGCTAAAAGCTATCTAATACCATGCAGAGTTTTCATGCATCAGCAAAATTAGACATCTAAGCAGGTGCAGTACTAGCAGTACTGTATAGTACTGTATAGTATTCTTCACTGAAAATACAACTGAAGAGCTTACCTACAAAATTACTAGTCTGGGATATCAACGGTCGAAACCGCTCCATTACCTCTTTCTTAGTGACCTTTAAAGCCTGAAAGATGATATTTGAGAGCATTGTAAAATACTGTTATTGCATAACAGAAAAGAGGTTCTGGCAATAACCAATACATCCAGTATATCATACCATACTTCAGGATTGCAATAATTTTCCTAGCAAAGTACAGTACAGTATAAATATACTGTACTGCATGTGTGTGCATATTATACTGTACACTGTACCATTGTTAATTCGAAAAAAAGGGGGCCCCGGGGTGAGGTGTTGATTATATGTAGAAGTCCGTGTGCTTTATTGGGACTAATGAAATATATATGGATCCTCGTATTTCGATGCCAGATTTGGTAAAACGTTACTCTGACACCTAAGCAGCACGGGTAGTCCCCATTAGAGGTTCACGGCGCCATAAGCTCGTTGAACAGGCTTTGTGTGAAATATAACAGTCTAGGACTGCTTTTAGTGTCCTGGTGGCCCAGAGGTAACGTTCCCCGGTCACAATCATAAGATCGTGGGTTCGAATAATGAGGGGTGAGGTGTTGATTACATGTAGAAGTCCACGTGCTTTATTGGGCTAATGAAATATACGTACGTAAGAACATACATACATACATACATACATACATACATACATACATACATACATATACAGTATTACCCCGCTTAACGCGCTTTCACTTAACGCGTTTTCGCATATACGCGGTGCCTTGCCAAAGCTGAACTTTCACTTAACGCGGATTTTTCCACAGCAACGCGGTGAGTGTCCGGCTCGAGAGCTATTTTTAGATTCGCACCACCCCCCACCCACCACCCTGCCTGACTGCCTGTTTTAGCTCATAAAATTCATACAAATTACCCAGCCAGAATATAATTTACATTGCTGGAATTCTTATAATTTGGTGATCATTTTGAATATAAACAACATATATTTTGCATTAAACATACAATTTTTAGATAAAAATTGTTCTCTAGGTAATTATGTTATCTTTTGTCCAAAATATATGACATTTATATTCAAAATATTCCTGGTCTTACAAGGAATCCAGCAATGTCAATTATATTATCCTAACTTTAGTTTGAGGTATTATTTATTAAAATTTAGTGGTTATCCCACACATCTCCTTGGGACGGTTGGTGGTGGGGGGTGGGGGGGAGGGAGGGACCGACCGACCGACCATCTGTTACCCGGTGAAGAATTATTTTTTTTTTTAACTGAAGATATTTGTTTTAGCTCATAAAATTCATACAAATTACCCGGTCAGAATATAATTTACATTGCTGGAATTCTTATAATTTGGTGATCATTTTGAATATAAACAACATATATTTTGCATTAAACATACAATTTTTAGATAAAAATTGTTCTCTAGGTAATTATGTTATCTTTTGTCCAAAATATATGACATTTATATTCAAAATATTCCTGGTCTTACAAGGAATCCAGCAATGTCAATTATATTATCCTAACTTTAATCTGAGGTATTATTTAATACTAAATGTTAAAAACTCTTGAATGGAGGATTGGTGGGGGGTGGGGGGAGGGTGATTGGAAGAGGGGGGGGAAGGCAAGGTGGGGTACTTTGATTGACAGATAGTGTTGAAGAATATTTTTTTTTTTTTTATTAACTGTAGATATTTGTTTCAGCTCATAAAATTCATACAAATTATCCGGCCAGAATATAATTTACATTGCTGGAATTCTTATAATTTGGTGATCATTTTGAATATAAACAACATATATTTTGCATTAAACATACAATTTTTAGATAAAAATTGTTCTCTAGGTAATTATGTTATCTTTTGTGAAAAATATATGACATTTATATTCAAAATATTCCTGGTCTTACAAGGAATCCAGCAATGTCAATTATATTATCCTAACTTTAGTTTGAGGAATTATTTATTACTATACCTGGTTTTCCCCCAAAAATTTCTCAGAGGGAAGAGCCAGTGAGTGTAGTGTGAGAAGAGGGGGAGGGAGTTGAGTCCATTATTTGAATGGACATTAACTTGGCGACTGTATTTCTCTATTTCTCTTAAGTATTAATTGTGTGCATGTACCATCATAAAATTAAGATGTTATTTTTACTACAACATAGTTATTTGTCGTCAAAAAGTGGAGTTTGGGGGTCGGGCTGGGTTCTATTGGAATTAATCCCATATGTTCTGTTATTCACTTAACGCGGTTTTCACTTAACGCGGGACCCTCTGGGTTCAATTGACCGCGTTAAGTGGGGTACAACTGTACATATATACATACATACATATCATATATACATACAGTGACCCCGCGGTGGTTAACGAACTCAATCCGTTCCAGAAGGTCGTTCGTTAACCGAAACCATTGTTTCAATGGGTTTTTGGGTAATTGGTTCCAGCTCACAGAAAATTTCCTAAATTCAACAAAAATGGTAGAAAAGTTCACTTACTTTGAGGTGTGTATGTAGAAGGCTCCTGGATGATGATGATGATGATGATGGGAATTAGAATAGGGGTGGAGGAGAAGGAAGAAGAAAAGGCATTGGGGTGGAAGAGAAGTCACCCCATGGCACCATTTCATCCATAAAATTTTAGTTCTCTTGGTGTATTTCAAGATTATTTTCTTTAAATGAACACTGCACTGCATTATATATTGTCAATGTGTAAAATATATTTCAAAATGACCAATAATTTGCTTGGAAACACAGAAAAAAGCGTTTAGTTGAAGAGAGTCTCAAGCAAGATGTTACCTCCACTGAAAACAGAGAGAGACTAACGCCTGTCTGGTGTGTTAACAGGCTGGATGGCACGCCAGAAACTAATTTCTTTACCTTCAATTATGTTCAATAATTGTTAAAATGACTAAAAAAAGTTAATATTAAACTTTTAAAACTATTGAATAGTATAAACTTCTTGATATTTACTAAAATAGTAAGGAATTTAAGCCCTAGAACCGATTAATGTATAGGCGGACTGATACTAAAGCTGGTTGCCCGGTCAGTGCAAGCGAAAACATGTTGAGGTCGGTTCGTAAGAACTTCGTTAACCGAATTTTTGTTCGTTAACCGAATTGAAGATCCTTATGGAAGGCAGTTCGTTAACCGAAATTTCGTTAACCGAGGCGTTCGTTAAATGAGGGGTCACTGTACATACATACATACATATACAGTTAACCCTCACTTTACGCGGTCCCACATTCCGCGTTTCCACGTTTACGCGGTGCCCTGCCGGAACCCAGGATGCTCACATTCCGCGGTGCGTGTACCCCTTTACGCGGAGAGCGGCTGGCGAGCCGCGCCATTTTTGGATCCAAACCTCCCGCCATCCGCCATGTTGTGTAAGCTGCGCGAACATGGTGCGCACAAGGTCGCCCAGTCATCAAAACATTACCAGTTCTTCACCCGCCACCCACCACAGCCGGCCCAAGTCAGTGATAGTGATAATTATGGTGAGGATATGGACTTATATGGACTTTGGGGAGTTTGACAAAGAGGCCCTGCAAGCCTCTGTGGTGGATAGTGATACAATTGATACAAGTGACACAGGTGAGGGCCAATAATCTGCCCTCTGCCTCGGAACCAACCGCCCATCCCCGTGTGCCCAGCCATTTTTTCTACTAATGTAAGTGTTAAAAAACCTAATATTATTGATATTTCTCTTAATTATTAATTGTGTGTGCATACCATCATAAAATTAAGAAGTTATTTTTACTACAACATAGGTATTGTGTCTGAAAAAGTGGAGTTTGGAGGTCGGCCCGGTCTCTATTTCAATTAATCCTATATGTTATGTTGTTCACTTTACGCGTTTCTCACTTTACGCGGGCCGCCGTGGGTTGAATTAACCGCGTAAAGTGATGGTTCACTGTATGTATATATATATACAGTGACCCCTCGTTTAACGAACACCTCGGTTAACGTAATTTCGATTAACGAACTGCCTTCCATAAGGATCTTCAATTTGGTTAACGAAAAAAAATTCGGTTAACGAAGTTCTTACGAACCGACCTCAACATGTTTTCTGTGTTTCCAAGCAAATTATTGGTCATTTTGAAATATATTTTACATATTGACAATATATAATGCAGTGCAGTGTTGATTTAAAGAAAATAATCTTGAATTACACCAGAGAGCTAAAATTTTATGGGTGAAATGGCGCCATGGGGTGACTTCTCTTCCACCCCAATGCCTTCTCTTCTTCCTTCTCCTCCACCCCCATTATAAATCCCATCATCATCATCATCCAGGAGCCTTCTACATACACACCTCAAAGTAAGTGAACTTTTCTACCATTTTTGTTGAATTTAGGAAATTTTCGGTGAGCTGGAACCAATTACCCAAAAACCCATTGGAACAATGGTTTCGGTTAACGAACTTTTCGGTTAACGAACGACCTTCTGGAACGGATTGAGTTCGTTAACGGAGGGGTCACTGTATGTATGTATGTATGTATGTATGTATGTATGTATGTATGTATATATATATATATATATATATATATATATATATATATATATATATATATATATATATATATATATATATATATATATATACATGTATACATATATATATATATATACATATACATATATACATATACATATATATATATATATATATATATATATATATACACATATATATATATATATACATACATATATATATATATATATATATATATATATATATATATATATATATATATATATATATATATATATATATATATATATATATATATACACAGTATATATATATAAATATATATATATATTTATTTTTTTTTTTTCGAAACTATCTTGAGCTCCTATTTTCTCCATTACCTTGAACGCCTTTCTCTTTTGTCGGATCACCAATATGGCTTTCACCAGGCAAGATCTACTGGTGATATGCTCTCCTATTGCACCCATCTTTGGTCATCCTCACTTAGGGATTATGGGGAAACTTTCATCGTGGCCCTCGACATCTCCAAAGCATTTGACAGGGTATGGCACAAGTCTTTGCTATCTAAACTTCCCTCTTTTGGTTTCTCTCCCCCACTTTGTTTTCTCATCT